TTGATACATCAGATAATTTGTTTTGGTCAACGTTTGCTGTTCAAGTAAATATTGTCTTTCTGCTAGATGCGTTTCGGCTGCTAACGTCTGTAGGGACGTTGACGTATTAGGAATAAGTAGGGGGTTTCTTATACATATTTTATAATGTGAATTTCTTACTTATTATATTATTAATTGTATTTCATATCAATGTATGTATGCATGATCTTCTCATTTCATAATGAATAGTGCAACTGAATATTTATTACTGTCTAAACGATACAAGTTGTCTTTCTCTTTTCTTTTGTGTCTGTGTGTTTCTTTCCTTCATTGCTCGTCCTTATTTTATAATTGGTCTTCAGACCCTTGAATCAGCATGCAAATAAATAAAGAGTTAACCTGAAATGAATCAGCTCTTAAGGACTCGTCGTGAAACTAATTAGATTCTTAATAAGCGACTGAAGAAGAAATATACAATAAGGGAATATCAATTCATATAAAGTACAAACAGTAAAGCTATCCCTGTACCAGGCCGTGAAGGCCCAGAGGGTCGTGAGACGTTGAGGGTCCCACATTATCTAGACAATCGGCTCAAAGATGGCGGTAAGGTTTTCAGCTTTACGCGCCGGCCGCGCTTTACTCCCAGGAATATTCCAGGTATTCACTTCTGTTAGAGGCTGAGTCTACTCCAGGGCCATAGTGCGGCTGGAAGGAATAAGTTAACTGAAAAAATCTAATGACCTCATCGGGACTTGAACTCGCAACCTTCCGGCTTGTAGCATAGCCTCTCGACCAACTACGCTACCGCGTGCTCCAATTTTTGAGACACTCTGTATATTTACCCAGCTTTCTGATTGCGCCATTTATAACATTTTATGGACTGTACAATATTATGCAGACTTGGAAGTTAGTTTTCGGCTTTCAGTCCTTAGAGCCAAGGTTCTTTACCGGGATTATGTGAAATATTACATAAATAATAATAAAAACAATTAATACTACTGTGTGAAATTTTTGATTCAAATTCTAATACTGAGACAGAAATCTCTGGGAGTATTTCCGGTTCGTCCTGCCAATAATCATTCCAAAATTATCATTTACCATTGTCTGCGACCAGCCAGGGCAGTATTGTGGGTTACGATTCCAGGTTGTGTCTTCACCTTTGACCTTAGTCTTCGCTAGGCTCAGAGTAATAAAGTTATCTTGCTACATTTCACGGGCTAGACAGAAGCTGCTGCTATTCCCGAAACACTTTCATTAATTCGCGCGGCTCTGCCTAATAAGAGTAATAACATCTTCTGGGATGTAACCCAGTAATCCGGCAGTTCATCGACGTTTCGGAGGACCGTAAAGGTCGAAGAGTAATAAAAGTTTTGAATGCTTAATGGTAAAGATAAATTTGTCCCTGTGCTTAATTAATTAAGCACTATGCCATGAAGACGTAGGGGGGAGTGAAAGTATAGCTTCTTGAGCTCGGCACTAACAGAAATGAGCGGTCAGCTTCACGCCTCTGCCGCTTTACACCCGGAGAAAGATCCCCCGGTACCCATTGGATAGGAGGCTGGGTAGGCCGCAGAGCCGGTCTAAATATTGTGGAGAGGAGAATAATCTTTCATTGCCTGGAATTGAACTCGGGTCCAGCCCGTAGCCCGTCGCTATACCTACTAAGCCCGATAAATTATGTTGGAGTGCTACATACCTTACGAAGCAAATTCCTCTTTACAATAAGTAAGGTTTCAATGCACACAATTTCAAGTTTTTCATCCGACAGGATAATTTGTGGGGGGGGGGGCAAGCGGTAGCATAGTTGGCTGAGGTACTAGATTACAAGTCGGATGGTCGCGGGATCGATTCCCCATGAGGTCACTGAATCTTTTTTAATTGACCTCCAGCCGCACTGTGGCCCTGGGTTCCACTCAGCCTCTAATAGAAATGAGTACCAGGAATCTTCCTGGGGGTAAAGGGCAGCCGTTGCGTAAGACTGACAATCTCACCGCCATCTTTGAGCCTACTGTCTAGAAAATGCGGGAGCCTCAACGTCTCACATCCCTATGGGCCTTCACGGCCTGTTACAGGGACACCTTTATCTTACCTTTACAGCATAATTTAGGGAGTGAAAATTTGGAATCTGATATCTTCAAATAACAAATTTTTTCAATTGACCTAATACTTCCAGCCGCACTGTGGCCCTGGGTTCCACTCAGCCTCTAATAGAAATGAGTACCAGGAATCTTCCTGGGGGTAAAGGGCAGCCGTTGCGTAAGACTGACAATCTCATCGCCATCTTTGAGCCTACTGTCTAGAAAATGTGGGAGCCTCGACGTCTCACATCCCTATGGGCCTTCACGGCCTGTTACAGGGACACCTTTATCTTACCTTTACAGCATAATTTAGGGAGTGAAAATTTGGAATCTGATATCTTCAAATAACAAATTTTTTCAATTGACCTAATACTTCCAGCCGCACTGTGGCCCTGGGTTCCACTCAGTCTCTAACAGAAATGAGTACCAGGAATCTTCCTGGGGTAAAGGGCAGCCGTTGCGTAAGACTGACAATCTCACCGCCATCTTTGAGCCGACTGTCTAGAAAATGTGGGAGCCTCGAGGTCTCACATCCCTATGGGCCTTCACGGCCTGTTACAGAGACACATTTATCTGACCTTTACAGGATAATTTAGGGAGTGAAAATTTGGAATCTGATATCTTCAAATAATTTCACTGTACCGCAAGACAATTTTTAAAAACGAATTACCTTCCAGTACCTGATATTCTAATTTATGTTTATTTACATCCATATATATATATAAAGCTTGGTATCTGGCAGTGAAAGCTTTTAAATTACGTATTTTACGGCGACCATAGCAACGACTTTCTAGGGCACACATGCTGCATGAACTAAAGGGGTTACGAACAAGCAAACAGTCATTTTTGTCCGCGCATGAAACTCATTCTGTGAATACTGATACTTTGATATGTAATGTGGTTAGTATTTATCACGAAAGGTGACTTCTTTTACGAAGATCTGGAAGGTTTCTTTCCTGTTCAAAATATCCATGCAGGAGATATCGTGTCAAGAGCTCTAATGTGAAACCAACTGGGCACATGACAGGTGTATGAAGATAATACAAAAGCAATGAACCTACATGACTGCTTGAATCCACATCTTCATGAATATAATACGACATACGCGCGTGTTTGGGGTTAATTTTATCGCGTCCATGTAACAGTCAGTGCTGTTCATGCATAATGAGATTAGTTACCCCGATAGACAATAAATCCCACTGGGAAATGTAACTTAGCAGAAGGCCTATGCAAATTTGTCTACGTTTATTTTAATTTATCTGTCAAGATTGTTAAAAATTCTTCACTGAAATTTTTAATATTGTGACTTCCTGAGCATAAAACTGCTTCATTATTGAAATGTGTAGAATATATTAAAACTGCATAATGAGGAGCTTCATAACTTTTACTTTTCTTCAACTATAATTAGAATAGCCAAGCCAAGGAGGATGAGATGGGCAGGGCATGTAGCACAAATGGGGAGACAAGGAATGCGTATAGGATGTTGGTGGGAAAGCCAGAAGGAAAGAGACCACTGGGAATACCAAGGCGTAGGTGGGTGGATAATATTAAAATGGATCTTAGAGAGATAGGATGGGGTGGTGTGGATTGGATTGGTCTGGCTCAGGATAGGGACCAGTGGAGGGCTCTAGTGGAAACGGTATGAACCTTCGGGTTTCATAAAGTGCTGGGAAATTCTTAAGTAGCTACAGAATTGGCGGCTCTTCAAGAAGGGCTGGGCGCCAAGTAAGAATATGTTACAGACGTATTTTTTCCTGACATTTCTTTAATCTGTGATGCAATTCCATTAGGTTGCAGTTCAACAGCAACAACGTTATAGCCTATATATACGAATTAATCACATCTACTTTTTTAATAACAAATCTCTAACCTTTACTTTCCCCTGTAAATAATTTTACTGTATATTGATTTAGTATTTATTCCAATTATGAATGTATTTCTGTGGAATCAGATGGCGTATAACAAATTTGATTCCTGTGTTAATATTTTCAGTTTGTCGTTGATTATCCAGTCTTTATAGAAATTAATTACTTAGGATATCTGTCTAAAACATTACACTTACGCAAAATTAATAATTCATATATATATGTATACGATAAAACATATAATTAAGATACATTTGTATCAGATATATTTATGCGCACAACAGTTATCCGCAAGTTGTAATTTTTGAAGCCGATACATGTTCAGAGTTTTGAATTTTAAATAATTCATTTCTAATTTTTGGAAATTAAGCGTGTAGTAAGTAAACGCCTATATAAATTTTTCGTATAATTTTCGACACAGATTAACTTATTGCTACTAATATTCTGGTGATCTGATGATTCAGAATCCATAAAACAAATCATATACGGAATTTCTGCTAGTTCTACGTAGCCCAGCCTTAATTTATTATTATTATTTCTCTAATATCTCTGATTGTACATATATCACCTTACTTTCTAAGTCATGTAACTGGATTCCAAGACCGCAATTCTTAAATACTCATTTCTATGTTCTGTAAATAATTTCAACAAGCGTTCTAAATCCAGATACTTGTCACAATCCTGTTAGGCTCTCTAGAGTGCTTGAATATATTTCTATACAAACAATGTATACGTCAAACAAAACATAAACAACTACCTGGAGCGGAATTCTTGAGAAGCTGCCAGTCGCTCAGCTACTCGAGAATATCCTGATCTTTTATGGTACCCCAAGGTACGTCACCGTATTCCTAAGAGCCTCACAAAGGTCTCTCTATCCTGAGCCAGATCAATCCGGTCCCGAAAAAATACATCAAAATATTTTTCACTTTACTACGTACATTCTATTGACCCTGAACGATTTAAACTTGGGCCGAGACGAAGCACATGGTTTGGGAATTACTGTCCTGATATTATCAAACAAATCCACATATTTATTTCCTTATAATTATTTTAAGGTCATAATTTTGTCTTGCCTTACCTTTTTGAGGAACAGCACTCGGGGGGCAGTTACCATCTGGTACGCCCCCTTTATTTGTTGTTTGAGGTGTACCACCCCCACCGCCACCACCAGTACTACTGTGTTTCGATGCAGGACTTCCCCCTGTTGAGCCCGAAATCACGCCACCTTCTTCAGAAACTTTTTCCGTGACAAATCTTGAGGAATCAGTAGTTGCTGTTGGTACTGTAGCACTATTATTCGACATCGCGAATTCGGATATTTCGGAAGAAACTCAGATATCGAATTCTAAAGAAAATAAGAGCAGAAATAATCCAGTTCTGTATTTAAACAAATAAACCCCTCTATGAACTGTCACGTTTTTTAAAAGACAAATTTAGATATAATGAAATTTATGTTTTTAATTATTTTAATTAAGAACAGATTATTTTGTTAGATTATCTCTTTACATATAGTATCTGTTCTTCTCTTCAGAATTTCTTAAACTGTATATTTTTAGGAATGATGTTATTTAGTTTATTTTTACTCGATTTTAGATAAATTTTCGTCTGGGCCCGGGACTCAGAGAGATGTACCCGCTACAACCTTCATATGCAGACTGGCACAGTCATATAACTCCTCCGCCCGCCGCAAGAGATCAACACTATCGCCCTCTCCTCTGCTCCCGCCACACCCTTCTCTGCACCCGTACAGCATCCTCGTCCGTACTGTTCTCTCTGCTAACATCAAACAAAATCAAACTGTTCACGTCCGCTCAAACAACAAAAAAAGGGGATATTTTGTTTTCTTTTGTTGTCGCATTCTTAAATCTGTTGGCGCATGAGTAACAGAAAGATTGATATTTGCCTGACATGTTATATTTCACAAACCGTGGCTCTCTCAGTATTAATATAAAGCACTAAAGTGCGAATATTGACAAATAAAGAAAAGCAAACAAAAGCAGAGAAACAGAAGAGACGAAATTTCTCAGAAATATGGGGTACATTCAGGACATAGTTGGGAAAACACGTACCCGAAACGAATTAAACGTAATTAATTTAAATAATACAATTATAAAAAACAGAAATAATTATGCACGTCTTGTGGAAAGAACAGAACCCCATTTTATACCTAAACTAACGACTTTATGACAAGAAGTTCTGGAAAGAACTATCACAGGATAGCAGTAAATTGCTGCTGGCCCTCGCCAGCATAGTTATTCTTGGTTCGGGTCCTAGTCGGGACTCATGGCCAAATTTTTGTTCGTTGAAAGACTTTTTATGTGCTCAGAAATGGGGCCTCCTCTTCCACGAGAGGAGGGGTTGGTCTTTCTATGTAGGTAACCAGGTTAAAACTCAAGACAAATAAGGGGTATCAAAACAGAAAATACGCTGCATTTGAGGTTCTCACAGCGGTGATCATAAAGTGCTGTATCTTCTAGAATATAACGCCGTGTAGGCTGGTAGAATATCACGGACATATCGGAGAAACATGTTTCCTCCATCTTCAGGATCAGAGTAAGAAATGCAAGCAGGTTTAGGCCAGTAAAGGAACCTAGAGAGAACAATAGGATAAATGAGAACAATAACTAGTGGTTGTGCTGCAAAGGGTCGTATTTGACACAAGAGATAAAACAAGGAGCCATGATACCTCAGTCAGTATAGCGACAGAGTACGGGATGGATGGCTGGGGTTCGATTCCCGGCAGGTGAAAAGATTTTTCTTTACACCATAGCGTCCAGTCTCCTATACGATGGGTCTCGGAGGCTTTTTCCTCGAGGATTAAGCTGACCACTCACCTCAATCTAGTGAAGAGATCAAGAATGGTGACGCTATACCTCCACACCCCCTGCCTTCATGGCTTGGTGTTTGGTTAATTAAGCACAGGGACAACTACACCCTTCTTAACCTGAGAGAGATGATACAACGTAGGGAAAAAGTAGCACAAGTGACCAGCTGGAGGTAGAGGGAATGTAGGAGGGGCGGGGGGGTGAAGGCATGAAGCAGCTTCAGGTCCGTCTTCTCAGCAAATTCCTGGCGCCAAAAGTATCAGCAATGAACGCGTCGTTACATAATTCATAATAAACAGTTCAGAGGAATGACATTCTTTAAACAGAACAGGCTGGTCTAAAGGTGAAGCTCTAGACTCGTATTCGGGAGGTGTTCGGTTCGAATCTCTGCCGGGACACGGGATATTCTAACTGAAGTTCTCCGTGGTTTTCCTCAATCTCTCGAGGCAAATTCCACGACCGCTTCCTTGCAAGTCCCCTCCAATTCATCGTTCATCTGTCATCCTCTCAACCGACGTTATATGGACTAGATACTGAAAGCGGCGCTAACACTTTCAAACCCAGTGGTAACTATATGTACCACCTGCTTTAACACATTGCCCTCTCAGTGTACCTGTCTGTTCCGTATAGTTCTCACAATAAGCAGAGACTCTTTCCCGAAACCGTTTGGACTCTGTAGCAGAGACGTAATGTTTCCTGTGAGGTACGAACTGAATCTATATATAACACGTACAATAAATTCAGTCATTAAAACGTTAAATGCCCGAACTCCCCACAGAAGAATATTCCTTAGTCCGGAAAGTGACAAGTAATGGTCGTGTCGGTGACGTAACAAGTCGATTTATGAAGATCGATATGAAGAAAGGTCACGCAGGCTCCAAAGCGTTTAGGCTGCCTGGATGATTTATAACGATATACACTCAATGTTGAGGAGCTTTATTTTGGTTTACAACAAGTGTAAATAACACGAGCTTCCTCCCTTCCACTCTGACAACAACTTAACCTCAGAGAGTCTCTTCCGGAACGTCGGGAGGGGGGGGGCAGAAACACAGGAGCCAGTTTTCTACTGTTTATACTAAGCGGCCTCCGTAGTCTAGAGGTAACGTTCCCTCCTCATGACTCGTGGTACGCGGGTTCAAATACCCGGCGGAGGTCGTCGAATTTTTAAGGGCGGAAAAATTCAGGGAACAAGTCCTCCGGGAGGGACTTCAAGCTGTGTGTCCCGTGTCGTTAACTTTACGGCATGTAAAAGAACCTCATATCCCCAAAGGGGATGACTGAGCCAAATTCCAGGACGTTTCCCGCCCAACAATAGTCTCTAAGGCCTCCGACAGATGGGGGAAGCATTATAGACACCGCTAAGCAAATGGCCGAACTCGCTTGCTCGGTGGGACTGATGGTACGCACCATTTATCGGTGGGGTATAGAGACTGGTAGAATATCATAGATGGAAGGACAATAGATCAAACTGGTCGCGGTGCATTGGGAAACTCACCCTCTCTAAATAACTAACTAACTAACTAACTAACTACTGTTTATACTAGCGCCAATGGGCCAGATACCTACGAAAATTAATGAGTAGCGTCACAGCGTCACCCTGATGAGACTGAGGTGTCGCGACCAATTGCGCAATGTCGTCCTCTCAATACTCAAACTGTAATGTATTAATAACAATGGAAATAGTCACCTCATTGTGTTTCACCTATATTCCGGTGCCAAATCCCCGAAGAGATACATTTACGGTTAGAGACCACATGGTGGCAGCACAGTGCAAATATGCTAAACTAACTGTAGATCGTTCCTGATATACTGTTCTCGAATCCCGTACCTTGAAAAGTCACCCAGGCCATACCGACCATTGCTAGGGGGGTGCAGAGAGATAGCTATCTACGTAGGTCAGGGGACAGACGACTCAGCTAAAGTCTGGAGGTAGATCAGGTACGCCGTACGCGAGGTGTCTCCATGCTCCTACCCACCGACCCCCTCAGTGAAAGCGCTACTGCGTAACAGCGATATATCATACTTCTCTTGATATTCTTGTTTCTCTCAGGGTGAGTCGTTCTCAAGTTCCTCGCTTTTATGTTTCCAGTTTCCTTTTATTTATCCCTATTTTTTCTGTTGTCTCCCTCTGTTTAACGGTTAATTTTCTATTTAATTTTTAATTATGTTATTGTGTCGATCAATACCCTTTATTGTTTACTTATGGTTTATTTCACGATAAAACTGAACAATGAGGAGCTCCGTAACTTTTACTCTTCCCCAAGCATAATTAAAATGATAAAAGCAGGGAGGATGAGACGGGCAGTGTAGAGAACGGTACAGAAGAGGTGGGAAAGCCACAAGGAAAAAAGACCATTAGGAAGACTAAGGGCTGGAACACACAGCGACACGACCAGTACGACGTCCGTACGGTTAATGTCGCATCAAGTAGTAGAACATAAAGTGTAGTCTTAGCTTTCATACGTGACGACATGCGACATCTACNAGTGGAGGGCTCTTGTGAACATGGTAATGAACATTCAGGTTCCATAAAATGCTGGGAATTTCTAGAGGAGTTGCACAATTTCAGCTTCTCAAGAAGAGCTCAGATCCATGAAGTCAGTGACTTCAGGATGCTGTCAATAGCTGGGTAGAATGATAGCAAGGTTCGCGAACAATGAATCGCAAGGGACATGGAAGGAAGCGGTCGTAGCCTATTATTATTATTATTATTGGAGGGGGTGGGTTTCCCCATGCACCGCGACCAGTTTGATCTATTGTACGTCCCCCTGTAATATTCTACCAGTCTCTATACCCTACCGGTACTGGTGCGTGCCATCAGACCCGACTCAGACAGCGAGTTCGGCCTCTACTGGCTCAGTGGTATCTAGATGCTTCCCCCATCTACCAGAGGCGTTAGAGACTATTGTTGGGCGGGAAATGTCCTTACAATTTGGCTCAGAGGTCTCCTTGAGACATGAAGTTCTTTTACGTGCCGTAAAGCTACGACACGGGACCCACGGCTTAAAGTCCCTCCCGGAGGACTTGTTCCCTGAATTTTTCCGCCCTTAAAAATTCCACGACCTCCGCCGGGTTTGAACCCGCGTACCTTGAGTCATGAGGTGGGAACGTTACTCCTAGACTACGGACGCCGCTGGTCGTAGCCTAACTTGAGGTTCTATCCCGAAATCTGCATAGGACTGAGTAAAACCACGATATACCTCAGAATAGTAAGAGTACCAAATGAGATTCGAACCTCTCGAACAAAAATCATAATCCTTACCGCCTGAGCCAACGTACTCGGTCCCTGTCCTCTGATCTCCCATTTAACTTCTTTCATAATTCTCTGTCTGCCCTTTTATTCTTAGTCTTATTATCTTCTTCTCTCTATCTGTCATTCTCCACTTACATTTCTCTCGGTGCTTTTCCGTAAGGAATAGTTTTTACTGTCCTTGGACATTAATCAGCTCCACTCTCTTCTGTTGCGTGTCTCTCGTGCCTTTAGAGCGGTAACGCGGGGCAACATGCGCACAGCTTCACCCACCGTCACTGCGCAGTGTTCACGCAGTCTCTCTTCATCTTCAGCTTGTTACCTCAGCGCAGATGAGGGAACAAATACACACGGAAACTGGAACAGATCCGGTAGGAGGGGCTCATGGCCCGCTGAGGTAACTA